TCCCAAGCTTCGCCCGGGGTCCCTGGAGCCAAAGGGCGCCGCAGCCTACAAGCTCTCGTAAGCACCTAAAGATATCTCTGCATCCCACCGCGTTCTTCCTGCGAAGAAGTTCCGCCTGCCTCTCACGACCCCCCCTCACCCGCCCCCCTGTCTGCGACTGGAATGAGGCTTTCAGGACCAGGTTTTGACTCAGGTCAGACTGGACCTGCGGGGTCATGTACCATCCATGTACCGGCCTGCTGGCTCAGCCGGTGGTGGCCAACCCAGTTGGTCAATCGGAGAAAACCACGAGGTCCGTCTCAGGCCGTAAAGAGGTCATCTTCCAGCACGGTACCCACCTGGCTGGTGTCGCCCCAAACCCACTACTACTTCGGGATCTCCAGAGCAGGACATCCCCGTTTTCAGGTCGACAGGACCGGCGCGCGCCTTGGCGGTCCCGCCTCCCTCCGGGAGTATTGATCATCCCCCTCGATCCGTGGAACGGACGGTTCCTTCCCTCCTTCCCCCGCCTGGTAGGGCGCTTCGGACCGCGAGTTCCACTCCTGTCACGGAACGAGACACGAGACACGAAGAACGACGAGTCCTGTCGGTCCAGTCGCCCCGGGCACCCACAACCATCAGAAGCTTCCGGACCCACAAAGGAACATGGAGACCACGCCCCCAACCCATCGAGTTCGAGACCACCACGGCAACGACGTTTCTCGACCCTCCCCAAGTGGGGAAGAGAGGACCTCGATGCACCGGCCCCCCCCCATCCGACGTGCGACGGCGCCGTGCCGGATGGGTCACTCCGGGCGCGAGAGGCGCGAGAGGCGAGAGAAAACCCTTTCGAAGTCAAGTCGACCATTGTTTAAAATGGGAACGATCTGGTTTTGTAGTGTACAACCCTTAGTAAAACAATGGTGCTTCGGGATGACCCAGCTAGTAAAACAATGGTGCTTCCACTGCTAGGGTATAGGTCTCCGGCTAATCCACAGCTCACATCGAACCCAAACATGACCCGTGTTATCGGAAAAGACCCTCGTTTGGGTGGTTGGTCTAAAATGGAGTCACTTAGGGACTATACGTGGCTGTGGCCTAAAGACTGTTCCAGGAACTAAGCTTAGATCATCCAATTCTTTGGTCTTTTCAGTGGCAGAAAACACACAAATCGAACAATTTTTACAGGCCTCTTTGAGTGCACAAGGCCCTATGCAAAAGCGCGTTGAAAAATTGAGGTCAACCTTGGCAACAGGCACACGTTGGTCGACAATGTGTCAGAAAAAGGTCTCCAGTCGAAGCAAAGGACTGGTGTTGTTGCACGAACTTGGTATGCGAAAGACCAGTTCAAGCGCCTATACCTCTCTCATGTGCCGCACACTGGTCAAACGGCGGGACTGGGGGCTCTGGTCGCCGCCCCCGGGAGAGCCAGGCTGTACTCTCGAGACGCTCCTCGATCAAACCGCCTTTGTTGACTCTCTCCACCATCAGCAAACTCCTGAGATCAGTCCATGAGCGACCAACGACCAACGACCGTAGGTTGACCATGTGGCAAGAAATGCCCAGAAACGCCGCCTGCGCGTGAAACGCCTCGCGGGGCACCAAGCTTGGAGGAGCTTTCATCCGTGAAGATCTCCCTGAATCTTCTATGTCAAGCGGGTCTCCTATAACAAAGGCTAGCTGCTAATTTCGACTGGCCCGAAAAATATTAAGGAAATGAGCACTTTTTCTTCTTCTCTCACAATTCTGCTCCAGCGCTAGCAGCAGCTGTCTGCACCTGGCAGAAACGAATGATAGGTGAGAGAAGGGGCTGACGATCAATAATAAGTGCTTCTTCACCGATTTCATCTGCCCTGAGTTGACGCCTGCCTGGTCTAGGAACCTTCACCAAAGCAGCCGGCAGCCGAGAAGCCGCTGCAGCCTGACCAAGGATCAGACTGGTAAACTGCTGCCACTTCCCGTTGGTGTTCTTGGGACTGGTCTGCTGACAGGCTGAGAGCTGTGTGGTTCCATCTTGTCATAATGTGAAGAGAGGCCCAGTCCCAAAAAAGTCTCGACTACTCTAGACGGATGTGCAGTGTACGCACCCTTCTCAAAATCAAAAGCCGGCCCTGGCATAGACTGATCTGAACATAGAGTTCTGCGACAGGCGCTGCCCTTTAGGAACTTCCTTTGACCCTTCAGTCCATCCTTCGAAGGAGCAGCTACAATGAAGCCTGATGCACCTTCGCGCAAGGGGATGAGCCCACTGCCAGATGGCTGCAGAGCGGTGGCGTGAAGTACTGCTTTGCTCCGGCGAAATCAACTCACAACACCACGTGGGTTTTTCAGACTCGTGTGAGTGGCTTTGAGGAAAGACTTCTGATCAACTTGCGTTGTGCAACAGCACCGCCAACACAATTACTCTCCGTAAATGTCTTATTAGAATAACCTTTGGGGGGCAGTGTCTCACCTCAGACAAAACAGACTTCACGCACGGCCCACCAAAACTCAACACTAAGTGGGGGAACGGAAGCTTCCTCTCCTCAACCGCCAAAACCTCTGGGAAAAAGCATAGGCAGCTCTGGCAAACCTTCGCCCGCACAGCCTTCATCATGGAAGCCTCGTGCTGCATGTCTCCGTCCTGGATTCTATGCTTGTACACCTTCACGACGCATTTTCTTCCCTGGTGATTGTCACTCAGCAGCACAGCTCCGTAGGAACCTTCTCCGACGTACAAGCATGAGCCATCTTGTGTTTTTGGATCTGTATGGCATCGGAAGGCACCAATCCGCACGTCCTCCTGCTGCTCCTGCTTGATGGTATTCTCCGACTGGCTACTACTGAAAGGTTCCAACCTTTGTTCCTTGCACTCAGGAAGGAGGTGCTGTCTGAACTTCACCCCCTGAACTCGCAATTGCACCCTCTGCGCCTCAAACTCTGCAGCGCACTTGGCTCTGTAAGCCTCTTTCTCACTCGGGGGTAGGTCCCGCCATTTTTGCCCCAAGCGCTTCATTTCCTGCGCGTGCGCATCCTTGCTCGCCCCCTTGTGAACATTGCAATGATCCTTCATGAACAAAGCAAAGGGGCGGCAAGCTTTGGGCGCAAGGCCATCTCCAATCGCGGCTCTTCGCTCAGATACCCTACTCCTTCTCTTAGTCTTGAGTTTCTTGCGGGCAATAAGGTCCTTCGGAGATCTCTTGCCTCGTACACGGAATGGCGGAGGAAGCGCCATTCCAAAGATTGGTTGAATTGAAGCCAATGAACCACCTTGAGCCGAACAAGCCCCTGAGCCAGCTAATTATCATCATGTCCACCTTACAAACTTGCGTTAAAGCTTCACGTCGTCATACCTTTGGGCGCCTTTTGGCGCCTTTCGATTCAATGGCCAGCAAATTGTGGTATTTCAAAGGCGCAAGCAAGACTTTGAAAGGTTATCTTCTCGTGACAATTGAATTGATTTGTTTTCAGTGGTTCGTTGCCCGCGACAAACAGGTATTGGATCCAAGCTTCCGCGCATTGACTGACAGTAAGGGCATGCAGCGCATCGTCTGCCGCAACTAGCTGGAGACCTGCAGGCGTAATTCTCAAAATCGCAGAGCCTCTCTTCTCTGCAGTTTCCGTGCTCTAAAAGTCTAAAAGTTAGAAATTCACATACCTGAGACGTATGCTACTGTTCAGTGAGGCTTCGAAGATTCAAGTGAGCACTTTAACTCAATCAGACAGCAAGCGGCCAGCCCACCAACCCCAGTCTTTTCATGTGTTGGGTCACAACCAGCTGCTGCTTGGTCTGAGGCAAGGCCTCCCACAGGAACAATGGACAAATCCAAAATCTCAACCAGTTAGCCAGAGGCCACACAAACGACAAGCTCAATCTTGAGTCCACCTTTCAGAGCCCACGCACTACCCTTCAATTGCCTGCAGGAAGCAATTCCGCTGGGAAAGGTAACTTTGTGATTTCAAAGGACCACAGCCACTAGCCAAAACAGTGGGTTGCAAGCGACAAAGAAAACAGGAATTGATCGTACAGTACCAGGCTAACCCTTGGGTACATGTCTGCCATCCTTGACTACAAAAACCAAAGAGGTTGGAGCAAGGAAAGGTCACGGCTGGGTGCCCTGAAGAAGCCCGAGGAAGGAACAATGAGGCACCTCCATGGAGAGGATCTGTGGGCCGCACTTCCAACCTCACCCTGCCAAGGATAGTGAGCAAAGTCGCAAAATTGGCCAGTACCGGCCAGGAAGCTGTAAGAAACAACACAAGGTCCTCAAACAAGACACACAAGGCAAACCTTTCCGACCCCACCTACTACCTTTCATTTGATAGGTTGAAGCTATTCCGCTGGGAAGGGTAGGCTTGGTGATTTCAAAGGTACATAATAACCAGTGGCCTCCAAGCTCAAGCATGTGCTTTGCACTGCCTGGCCAACCCTTGAACACATGCCCACCACCTTTTACTGCATCAACAGTTATTCCTTGCGCAAGGAAAGGTGACGCACTGTACCCTTTGAGAAACCTTCTGCAAGGTCAAAAGGTGCCTTGATGGTGAGGATCTATGAGCCCAGCCAATCTCGGCCTGAACAGGATGCTCACAAAACACTAACGGCTAATTTTAGTTATCCGACCCAAAGCCCAGTGGCCAAAAACCAGCCACATGCTTGGAAGGGTCCGGGCCATAACCCTTCAGTTGCTAAAATCTGAATAGTCCAGCAGTGAAGGGCAAAGTGCTTGACTTTAAGGGTCTACATGAAGCGGTGCGTTAAGGCCTTGCAGCTGACATCTAAATCTCCTCCTAAAGGAACGAAAGCGGCAATGGTGCCTGAAACGGGAGCCGATGAGCCAGGAAGCCTCTTCATTTGCCGCCGAGGGCACGGCCAACTTTGGGGAGAGGAGACGGGTCTTCCTCGCCCATCCAATTGCCTGAGAATGGCTGCCCCCATTGTGGCTGCAAAGCCAAGGGGCGGAAACAAACTCACACTGGCATCCCAAATTAGCCTAGCAACTCCTTTTGAGAAAGCAAAAGTTCCTGAGCGCAAGTCGTGGCTAGGGAAACCCATGACTGACAGGAAGCCATTTGCTGAATCTCAACGATAAGCGCAAACCGGGAGTCTTCAAGACGTGGATGCACTTGCACGCATTCACGACGCAAACGTCAGATGTGACCTCAGCCTGGAGAATTTGCATCTTCACGCGCTTGGGATTTGGCAAACCTTTCAACTGCTCCTGGACGGCTTCCAGAGCGTCTGCAGGGCTTTGGCCGCACCATCGCCCAAAGACCCTGCTGTACGTTCCATTCCTGACATAAAACCCGAGTGCGCCATTGAAGCCGCAAAAGTTTTAGTCAGTGAAGTCTATTATAGTGCACGGGCCACTCACAAACCCCAGGACACGAACCTATACTATACTATAAACTGCATCTGCGAATCCAATGCGGGCTGCACTCGTAGCAAGGGTTGGCCAAACGATCAATGGCCGCAAGTGCCTGCCGAAAGTGGGGAGCCATCAGCCTGCTGGAGTTGCACTTCACGAGATAGAGCCTCGGTGGTCAATTACTTGGCTATTGCTTCCCTGTCTTGAAAATGATGTTGTTGAAATTCCATTCAGGTTGCGACAAGGCACATATCCACGTCGACAATCCAATCAGCTTTGCCCTGGCACACGAACATAATGTCGAGGCTGCCATCCAAAAATTGGCCAGCCATGGCCAGAACATCAGCCATCCGAAGCTTCGCCAGGGCACGGTTCGGCCGGACCTTCTGCCCCCTTTTGGAAATAACTCGGAACGGCAGGAAAGCTTTTCGCTGGGCAACCCCATGGGTGACTTCGAAGAACTTTTGAACGAGCGGAAGCAAAGCCAAGGGCCGACGAGCCGACAACTCATCCACCAAGAACTCACCAAATTGCACAGAGCGAAGGTACGTTGCAATCATAATTAAAGCTAACTGCTCCCTGGCTTCCAATTTCTGAACTTTGGCACTGGCCACCAGAATCTTCAAACAGGCCGTCAGCTTGTCACCACCTCAGTTAAGGATGCCCCAAAGCAGGTCCGCCCTAGCACCAAGCCAGAGTTTTTTTCGAAGCTGACAGACCTGTTGCCTGGCATGGGCGCGGTGATTCATCTGGTTTGTGGCACAGGTAGAAACAAACAGCCGATGCGCTCACAGGTTGCAACGTATGGTCGTATCAAGTTGTTGCAGGTTGTTGCCTGAAAACTATCACACAGGCATCCACCAAGTCACGGCTCTTCACCACAGAGTGGGCAAAGCTGCCTCTGCAACTGTCCAGAAAAGACAGCCTGGACTCCCCCATCCTCAGAAAGGGATTCTCAGCGTGCAAGATCTGCAGCATCAGGTTGTCTGGGTCCTGCGGAGCTTGGAGTGCCAATATGGGATCTGATTCCTGATGATGTTCTTGTCTGATCAAACAAGGCAGACGACCAGCTCACCTTTCAATAGCACTAGAGAACCTTTCATGGGAAAGTAAGTGTAACACATAGTGGTGAAGGCTCAACAGAACGCACTGAAAGGTTTCACACACCTTGTCCAGTGGTGGGATGCGACAGCCGATTCTATAGGCCATGTAAGCTGCCAGGGCTGCCTCACTTCGATTGAACGCTGCACGCTGCTGAAACACCACTGACCCACTACCACTCTCATCAGTGCAGCTGGAAGACTGGAGCTACTGTGTCCAAATCATAGTCTCGAAACATGAAGTTTGCCACAGAGAGTATATAGCTTGTTGTCGTTGGAATCCATGCAATCCCTGGCAGCCTGGGCTGCAGGCTGGCCAGGCCCTATATGGCACAAACTCTAGAGTCACTACTTGACCAGTAAGGACTACTACCACCAAGCAACGACCCAAGCGCATCTGGCCAAACGCCCCCAAGAATTGGTCGCCTGCCCACCTTTGCAGGCGCTCACCCTTTCGTCTGCTGCCAGCCTTGCACTGATCGCAGGTGGAGGCATCGCTGGCCTGGCAAAAGCATGCGATTCATGACGGTGAAGTCAACATAGTAAAAACAATGACAGCTGCCCTGAGACCTCTCTCAGACCTTTCAGTGGCAACGCAGTACCTTTGCAAGCAAATTGAGACCTTTGGAAGCAGTCGTCGGCTACAAAACACCTTTCAAATGCACGAAACCTTTCAAGTGCTTGTTTTCACCTTTCAATGACACGAAAACATTGAGGTTACTGGTTTTTACGAACCAGTGGCGTATTGTAGGGGGGAATGCCCTTGTGAATACGGGCCCAGTTTTTGCAAACCAGGAGTGTATTCTCAGTTATCTTTTCCAAGGCAATACTGAAACTGAGGCAAAGCATATTCAGTGGACAATTTCCCCTCGCAATACGGTCTTGGTTTTTAAAAACCACTGGGCGTATTTGGAGGGGGCGCTTTTTGGAGCCGCTGAGCTACTGGAGCCACTTAGGCTGCTTTGCTAGCAACTTCCGATTCCTGTACGAAACAAGACTGACCCCACTTCAAGTCTTCAGGCCAAAGGCTACTAAGCCTCTTGATTTCCGCAGAACGCGAATTGATCGAAGGAATGCCCAAAATTCAGGCCAGCTTGCCAGCTTCTTGCAAACCTTCTTTTTGCAAGCAAATGGTCTCGCAGCCACAAAGGGTTCACCGAACACTGCCAGTTGCCAGCGCGATCCAGAGGTCTTGGCGCAGGCTTTGAACGCAGAAACCACCAAGTTACACCTTGGAGAGATTTTACCAGTGGCCGGTGGATGCGTTTGGGGGTGTGCTAGTTCCTTAATTTTAAGCGTAGCCATAGGAGGGAGTTGAAAAGAGAAGAAACTACAAGCTTCACCAGATAACTTCCCAAGCTTCCTGGCCACTTCACCAGATAACTCCACTGCAAGAGCCCTGGTTCGTGCTGCTGAGCTGATAGGAACGCCTCCGGCTTCCACTCTCGCCGGTCAGGCTTCTCAAAAGCCTCTCTGCCCACGAGACATTTTCCCAAGCCATAGCATAGCAAAAGCGCAGCAGCCTGAGGCTACCAAAGTTGGCATTGGAAACACGCAACCAAAAAACTCAAGTGTTAACTCCTTGTTTTTTTGGGTGATTTATACTGGCCTGATGTCTGAGATCCTGTACACGATGGCAAATTCGCTATACATATCATTAATGACTGTTGAAATTCCATCAACTCAACAGCCTTTCAGCCGTTCAAAGCCACTGCTTAATTATGCTTGTCTTTGGTCTTGGCGCCAGAAAACTACCCCCGCCGAGTGTTCACAAGACATTTCTTCCACTTTGGTCTCCTTTCACCCTTCAGGCCCTTGACCTTCTGCACTCTGACTCTGAGCCTCCCAGAATTTTGGTTTCTGGCCACCTTGCTCCATGTCGGTGGCTGCATTCCAAAGCGTTTGCGCAAGTGCTCTTCTAAACGCTTCGCAGCCTCAAGAGCCGAAGGAGCCGAAGGAGCCGAAGCAGCTACCGCTGCAGGAAGGCTCTGATGGGCTGCAGGCAGCTCCCAATTGACAAGAAGCAAAGCAATCACCATGACAATGCCAACCACCTGGCAGTGCATAGTGTTACCGCCCATGTTCTCAAGATCCGTCGCTGAGATGCAACTTGGGAAAGTCATCTTGTGGAGTGGGAATGCGTGCAGCAGAAGAGCCTCGTGCGGCAGCAGGGCTCGACCCTCACTGCCCAGGATCAGGTGGGATCCGGGAGTAATGGTAGGCACCTTTCCATCAGTGCGCTCTCTGTTGCGGCCCAAACTTTGAGACAAATCGCACACAAACTGGTCAGCTTGCCCAACTGTCGTGCGCAACTTGTCCCAAACGTCTCTCTCCCGGGGTAAATGCAAAAACAAATCAGCAGCCGAGCAGCCCCTGAAACTAAAAGCTGACGGAGCCGCGTGGCAATGTTTGGCCTTCCATTCATCATCCAGCTCCTTCCATTTCATGTGGGGTGACCTGGTTGGAAACCCCAGTGTTGCTGCCTGAGACCATCGCGCCCTCCTGAATTGTTGGTGCTGCGACACAAGCGGGTGGTCACTTGGTAAGAGCCGCTGAGCCAAAGGAGCAGGTTCATTTGCCTGCCCCAGCTCAGTCCAAATGTGCTGGAGAATGTGCCTGGAGGCTCCTGCAGGGAAAGCGGCCACATCTGTTCGCAGCCCGATGAAATAGAAACGTGGCCGGAGAAGGGGCTCCCCCAAACTCGAAGGGTCCATTAATTGAACCGCTACGATGTAGCCCAAGTCCTGCAACATAGATTGTACCTTCTCCATGCACCGTTGGATGCCTTTGACGTTCTCGAGGACAAAGCATGGAGGCCGTAGCTTGCCGATGCGTCGAAGAACTGCCTTGAAAATCTCAGCCTCCTTTTCCTCAAGAAGCTTGGTCTTGTTGTGAAGCATGGAAAATGGTATGCAGGAAAACCCAGCCACATACAAATGCACAAAGGGCACTGCGCCAGCAGAGCTGACAATCACGTCGTCCATGAAAGCTTCCTCAGGCAAGCAATTCGCTTCAATCATCGTCCTGGGCGCCGGATTGATCTCGCAGCTGAAAACATGTTTGTGCAGCAGGCCCATAGAACGGAGGGCATGCACTGGAGCTTCCAAGCCACTACAATCTGTTCCAACCCGCAAAGCTGATGAGCCATTGGAGCCGTTGATGAGAAAGTTCGGCCACGCAACCTTCTCATTACAAGCTTCTGCAGCTGCGCGGATCCGCGACAAAGTCTGGGGCCCCCATGAGTCTAGCCAATGAGTTAGGAAACTAGGCAAAAGGATTGGAGACGTCATTTTGAGCAAAATGCCTAAGCAAGCAAACTCACTCTCACAGATGGTCCAACGCGTGCTGAACTTCAGTGTCAGCCACTTAACATTTGCCCTGTCCCTTGATGCTTCAAGCGGCAACATGATCTGAGCTTTGCGTGTCCATGTCTGTCAGCTGGTCCACGACAATGATGTCGGCTGCCGCAACTTGGAGAAAGGAAAGCAGAGTGCATCCACGGGGCAGCTCCAAGTTGCGAGCTCTTGGCAAATACATCCTGAAAAGAGGTAGCACATTCGTGTTTTTGCTCCAAGTTGGTAGCTCTGCGCCTCCAGCGCCAAAGCCTGCAAGCCGAGGAGCCGTGGGAGCATAGGGTGCCTGTTTCTGCCGTCGCCGCTCTGCCACTGCAGCATGTCCTTGTTAGATTCCCAGAAAACTCTACCCGAAAGAACATTAAAATGTCGTAATACACAACTTTAATCCATACAAGCAACTGTGTGCCAGCGAGTTGGCACATTCTGCGCTGCAGGCAGCCGTGCTTGAAGCTCCTTGGCCTCATCCACCACCCAGGCATCCGGCAAGGCCATGTCTCAGATGCATCATTCTCATTCTCCAGTGAACAAACAACTGACTACTATCATGCTTCAACCCAAGTCTAGCTGCGCATGAAGGAACGCCAGCCAATGAAATGTGAAGAGACAAGTTAATCAAACTTTTGACCGAGAAACGGGCGCAAACACTGACCAAATCCGGGTGGTTCCGGGAGCCGCTGGGGTAAAATGAGCTCACCACCGGGTCGAAGCCACAGAAAGCCCAGGTGAAATTCTCAGTAGTGTTGTACCTCTGCTGAAACCATGAGGGCACAGCCGATGGGTGGCAGGTAAAGCGGCAAAACTCTTCTCTGGTGAACATCAGCGCGCCAGTCTCAAATGAAGACATCCCAGCCTTAACGCTTTGAGCGATTTCCTGCCGCGCCCTCCTGGCTGCATCGCTCTGAGCAAGTTGGGATTCAGCACTGGAAGCTGGAGCCGCTGAAGCCGATGAAGCCGAAACCAACGCATCATTGCCTGCTCCAGCACCATTGCCACCATGGCCTGCTCCACTGCCACCATCGTCTGCTCCACCACCATTGCCACCATTGCCTGCGCTGTCGTCAGCAGGTGGGCCCATCTCTTGCGGTGGTCCCTGCGCCGCTGCCATCTCGTCTGAGGACGAGGAAGTTGAAGACTCTGGCTCAGGGCGACCCCCAACGACACGGCGCAAAGCACCAAACATTCAGCAGCCAAACAGCAAAAAGCCAAGAGCCGCTGAGCCGAAGTGCCCTGAGAAACACAGAGCATTTGTGCGATGGACCGCTCTAATACTATTGCGTTTCCAGCTTAAACAGTTGGATGTCGGTGGACCCTGCCCGACAAACTCGACACTTGAAGTGTCCCGTCGCCCTGCCTTCTCAAAGCCAGGGGAGCAGTGACAGCAGGTGAAGCGCCAAACGCCTGGGCCTGATGGAACAGCGGAGGTTATCGTTTTTTGGGTGTGTGGGCTTGGAATAATCTCTGGGGCTACCACATTCAAAGAACAGGGGTGCTAAGCAAGGAGCCACACACACACTCTCTTAAACATCTAGTGCGGCGCTGCCTCTGCTGAAGGAAAAGACAACGATGACAGCGGCGAAGCCTGCAAGTGACATTGGTACCACACAAACACCCCCAAGCCAGTGTTTCAATCCAAGACTGAAACAATCTGAATCAAGCTATTCAACATACCTGGCCCAATGTCTTCATGTCTTCACCCACACGACCAAATGCGGAATGATAGATGGGCTGCCTTCTGACCGCAGTGAAATAGCCGAGGAGCCGCTGAAGCCTGTGCCCGAGAGGTGGGGCCGCTATCTAATTCAAGCCAGCCAGTGGTGAACTGGTGGCCAATGAGTTGAGACTCAACAGAAAGCCAAAAGCCATCATCGGGCCAGTTGAAAAGCAAACCGCAACTTCCCTCCGAGCCTCTCAAGGGTGCCGAGGCTAGCAGCAATGGCTCTGGTGATGCAGGTCAACAGGGAAGAACATCTAGCCAGTTGTACTCAGCTTTCAATACCATTAAACAGATTAAACTTTCCAGAACTGCTGACCTGGTTTTTGGATGCAACATGTAAATTCAAAAACAGCCGCAAAGAGCCGTTGAGCCTATAGCAACTGCCTCAGTCTCAGCCATAAAACTCTGCAGTCTGCATGCAGGCGGAAATCGAACCCTTCCAACTCCCAAGCCCGGTTGGCCTCCACACGAAGGAGCTGCAAGAAGAAACGCCTTGGCCGGGTTTCTGGCTGAACGACATAGCATAACGGTCAATGTTTGAACTTGTCGTCCCTAACACCCTAAAAAGTAGTGTCTCCTGTTCCAGGCAACTACAAAGCTATTGAGCCCAACATGCTGCTGAAAATTTTGCTTCACCGTCCGGGAACTTCAGGCCCCGGCGGTTGGCGACGAGGGCTGCAAGAAAGGAGGCCATGCCCTGCCAGCTTTAGTGCAAATAACCCACAAAACCCATTCAATTCCCAGCTGCGATCGACCAAGCATCCCCTGACAGAGCCCTGGCCCTGGCGCCTTCTACCCAAGAAGCTGAAGAGCCGCAAAGCCGAAGAGCCGCAGCAGCCAGCCGCCTGTCAAGTGTGTCTGAGTGGGTTTGCCATGGGTTGGACATCATCTCTGGAAACGGTTGAGTGTGGCACCCGCAGGCCTCAAAAGAATAAGGTAGGCTCAACCTTTCCACAAAACATAGCCTAACATCCACACTCCCTCCACACCAGTGCCTTTGATTCAAGAAGCTGACGAGCCGCGCAGCCGCAAAGCCAATAAGCCGCTGCCTGGTGTCACTTGCTTCCAGCCCGTGAAAGGTTACATGAAAATCAAGGGCCATAGGCTGGTAGACTGGGAATCTTTTAATGAGGATTGGCTCTAGATAGGGTACACATTTTAAAAGATGCTGGAAATAAGTGATGGACTTCTCCCCACATCCGGCCTTGGGTTCGCTGATGGAGGCAGCGCACCGCAGCAGCTGCTCAAGAGAAGGGCATTGAGGGTGAAAGGAATCAAGAAAGTTGAAAGCTCAGTTGGAGCATCTAGTGGGAAGTAGGAATTTGAAGCGTAGGTTGAAGTATGATGGATGGTTTGTTTTTCTCACTTTGGGGTTCCATGGGCTGATTCTCTTTGAGGCTTCAGCCTTGAACCATTGAATATCAAAAACTCAAAAAAATAAAAAATGTACGAAAATGGCGGGTAGAAGGTAAGGTCGTTTGTTTAGAGTGTCTATCAGAAGACCGTAGCATGCAGTATAGCGTATAGAAAAAAAAGATTAAAAAAGTATATACAGTAAAGCCATGAAGTGATTTAAAAAAGGTAAAAAAAGAACAACACCCAGATGGTGAGAGAAGATCTCAACCCTTCAAATCTTCAAACACCTGGACTCACCTGGACTCGCCGAACCTGGGCCCCAAATGCTTCTACCGACATCTTCCCCACCGGCGAGCCGGTGCCTTCCCAACCGCTACGAGCTCCAAAGCTCCGAGCTACGCGCCCCTGCTGGGGTCTCCGGGCCCATCGTTGGAGCCCTTGCCCACGATGAGGTCGACCCCCAAGCGCCAGGCCTCTGGCGTCCGCAGTATCTCCACCTGGAGAGAGACCGTTGGTCTTTCGGGAGGGGAGAGGGCAGAGGTTCGGCAGGGGGAGAGTCGTTCAAGTTCGAGATGCGATGCGAAAAAAAGAGTTGTAATGAATATGGCAAATTATTAGACGATATTGGACGTATTGATTTCAATTCAAGACCCCTCCGGTGTTTAGATGGTGCTCAAAGACCAGGTTTTTTGGGAGGGTCCCTTGGTGGTAGAGGGGCCCAAAGGAAACCACCTGCCTTCAGCCCAGGGAGTCGATCTTGGAAGATTCGGAAGCCTTCCAACCAGCTCGATCCTTTGGCTCCAAAACCACGTCAAACAAACCAAGGGACTACCCCCCCATGGACGAACTGACGAAAGAAAAACCCGAGGAAGTCCGGAATTCCCCGGTGCTGATGCCTTTCCACTCCCCGATTCCAAGCTGAGCTCCCGAAGGAAGGAGAGAAGGCCCGCCTGAAAGGTGAAATCCTGCATTCCGGAACCGGTCAGTGGTCCCGACCTGAAGTGGACCCCCGTTCTTTCGCGTGTCGAACACGAAGACGACGAGGACGCGGACGCAGGTTCGGTGGGCTGAAATCAGGTGGTTCAGCTGGTTGGGAGAAAAACACTACAACCAACCATGACTTCGGAGATGACTTTCTGTCAGGAAGTTGGGGTCCGTCCAGCAAAAGAAAACGAATCGTTTTCAGAAGCCAGTTCTCCTGGCTCTACAGATCTGGTGATTTCCAAAACCCTCTTCCCTAGACTTCCAAGACTGTTTTAAAAATGGGAACGACCTGGTTTTTGTATGTTTTTGCAGTGTAAAATCCTTAGTTGATTCGGGATGACCAGCCTATTAAATTAATGGTTGTTGGAAGCCTAGGGTCTTGTCTCCCACGAGACTTGCCAAGAACCGCACCGCGAGCCTTGCGCCGCCACGGCGACGACGGCGACGCTCGCGACGCTCGCGGAGCTGAGAACGCCACATCTAATGGCGCATGCCGCGGCGCGACCGAAAGGAAGCCACGGAAAAAACAGGCTCTGCGCGGATCTCTGCAGAGAGCGGGGGTTTCAATGGATGGGGGGAATGATGGGAAATGGGAGAATCCCAAGCTGCAGCTTCCTTCGTGGCAATCTGAGTTGAGGGTTGGGTCGTGTTTTTGGTCCTATCTCACCATGCGATCGTTGGCCGCGGTGTGAGACCTTCTGAGACCTTTTCTTTGGGTTTGGAAATCGACCTTCGTGCCGATGTTCTGAGACGGTCTGTGAGCCCCAAGGGCGGTCGCGCAGGACCGGTCGCAGGACCGGTGGCCGGTCTCGAGCGAATGGAAAAAGACCCTCCAGCACCACGGAGTTGGAGCGGTTCTTGGGAAGATACATGGGCTCAATAAGGCGGGCCGCCCCAAACCACCCCAACTCGGCACCGTGCTGTCTAAAGTGGTGTGGTGCTGTCACTCCTGGAGTGGCCATCGAAGCCCCTCAGGAACGACTCTCAAAGCCGGCACCAGACCGAGCTTGGGGACCTGAAAGACGGTACCGGTCGTTCTTTGGGGAGACGGTGCTGACCAGTGCATCCAAACCATGCGTCCAAACTCCAACCGTTCCAACCACCCGGTTCCACTCTGATTCACGGGCGCTCCCTCAAAACCTGACAGTTGGGAGACCCCTTCCGACCCCTCCAACCTCGGGTCCAGGGTGGCGAGACCGGACGAGACGGGAGAGGCTCTGGTCTTTTTCCGCCCACGAACGCGGCAGTCAGGTGGCGCAAGCTGGGGTCTGGGGGCGATACCTGAGCTAGGACAAGTTCCATTGGAAAAGAGGGTCGTGGAATTGGATACAGTGGATACAGGATGAAAAAACACAGAGAGAATTCACCAAGCAAGAGCCTGGTCCTTCGGCGTTTCATCTCCAATGGGCGACGTCCAGGGGTTCCGCGCGGGGCTCCATGCCTCGTTGGGAAAATGGCGGCACCCGGCCCACACGAGCCGCCTGAACGCGTCCGAAAGAGGCATTCAGTCCGTGTCCGCGGGCGGCGCTCTCCGTGGGGAAACAGGTGGAATCGTAGAGTCCGATTCAGCCCATTGGTGTGAAAAAAAGGGACTCCAACGCTGGATCGATGGAAGTTCATGTCACAAAGCTGCGAAGAATTCGTTGCGCAAGTCTCGAAGCGCGAACGAAAGGGTCCTTCTTGGGGCCTTCAGCGAACTGGAAGAGCTGGCAGTAAGTCCAAGTGTCGAACCCTCAGCTGCTTCGGCGGACCAGCGGTGCGGGGCGTTTTAACATCCCGCCCTAGGGGCATCCTGGGACCCGAACACAGAGCAGAGCAGGCAGGGGTCACCCGAACCAAACGCATGAAGAACGACCTTTGGAAGTCAGTTAGATGTGGCATATTTCCTCTCCACCATGCTGTCTCATTCGAAAATTTGCCTCACAGGAAGCTCCCATGACATCCCGAGCAGTGTGGATACCGCCGACGCCAAGCCGCGCTTTCGCGCGGCTCGGTGTCTCATCACCGGGCCGGTCCGTCTTTCGCCGACTCTCGGACGCTCGGCCGGGTGGCTACCCCCACTCTCGGCACGTGATCGGAGATGGCAGCGGAAGATGCACGACACACACATTGCCCACTAATCCAGATCGACGATTTTGAGGGCACCGCCGTAATCAATTTCAGAATCCTGGAACAGGTTTTTTTGGAGACCCTTTGATCTATGGGTCTATACCTGGACTTGCAATGGGTTGCGTTTCTTCTGTTTTGGGGGTTCTACCTGGCTCAAGCTGTGTCTCTCCAGCCAGCCGAGGCCGGAGGCCGGAACCCTTTCCGAGAGAAAGATCCATGACTCATGTGTTCGCGCGCGCGCGCGCGCGTGACTGGGAGGCAGCGCCCGATGTCGGACAAAACCTGAGGGCTTCAGCAAGGCAGAGTTCTTCAATGCATCTGAACTATATATCCCTATTGGGAGTCATATATTGGATGATCTTTTTGGCGGATGTCTTAACCGAACTGCAGGTATTAGTACACTCTGACTTGCATAACAAAAAGATATAGAAGTATGCGTCCGAAGATGTGTTTCACGTGCGTTCGCAACTGTTGAATGAAGCCCATTTACCGGACACGCCTTCGTCTTCGTCCAAACGACCATGCAGACTCTGGAGGGGGCCAGTCGAGCGACACACCACCAGGTCAGGACTGGTCGAAGTCTCGCCTTCGCACGAACCGTGGCCGAACCGAACCGAACCGGTGACAACGACCGGCGTCCAGCCACCGACGTGCGGACGCGAAGGGATCTGGGGAGACCGCACCACCTCCTCCGCCAGCGCGTGGCCCGAGCCGCCGCAAATGCCCAGCTCGAAGTCCTCCGATGCCGCGCGCGCGACCGTCCGAGAAGCGCAGAACGGAAGGAGAGCCAGTTGGCCAGTGGTGTTCCGGAAGTGCTGAAAGGACCCAGAACTGATCACTTCAATGCTGCCCTGATTTCAGATCCAGAACTTTGCGGAGCTTCAACACTTCGAGTGGAAATCTTCAGTCCACTTTGACTCACCAGGGGGGATAGGACTTGGCCAATCCTCTTCCCCGCAGACTCCCCCCAAAAAGGAGTCAGCAAGTCATAGACAAAGGCGACTCTGCTTGTTTGTTTAAACAACAGCATAGCCAGCAAAAAGACGAAATGATGGATAACCTGGATAGCAGAGTTGTCTTCGTTACATTAGACATGATTTCTTTACACCTTGCTTGCACCTCATCGGGCGCCATGTCTATCGTTTGGCGAAAACATGTGTCGATCTCGAAACCAAACCTCTCCAACACCTGCCCGACAGCCACCGGCCTTCGCTTGGGTGGCATTGGTCGGATCCTCCTGAGAAGGGCCGCAGCGGGCGCGCGCGCGCGCGCGCGCGCGCGCTCGGGGTGAATGGACTCCCCTACCTCCAAGGGCCAATAGACACCCACAAGGGCCTGGGTGTCCTGGTATATTTGTTTTAAGGATGAAACACAACACCAGGTCAACCATTGATCAATTGGTCTTGGAAGCGGGAACGTCTCCTTTCTTCCACCCACAGATCTTCCAGGAATGCTGCAAAAATAACACATCTTCCGGCCAAGAAGGTCAGTTTTCCCCTAAACCCCGCCCTTTCTGTCAAAGGGATTGGCCACGTGTCCCCTCTTAGGCCCCCCCATGCCCTGAAAACGACGCGACCGGCTCCTTCGCCATGGCCGCTTTCAGCCCAGCCACACTGGTGCCCTGCCGAAGTGGAGAGTGCTTGAGAAACTGAAACAGATCGTCCTCGAAACTCGCTGAAACTCTTTTGGAGAAAAGCCTTCGCTAGGCCATTGGAGGCCAAAGCTTTAGGGTGGAGAGGCCATCGCCGCGCCTTGTCACTCCAAAGAAGATGGGGTGTGTGCTTTTCCCATGTGTTTTTTGTTTTGATCTTCGTGGCCTCTTCTTTTCGCGGATCGGTTGATCCCTCAGCTCCCTGGCGGTCACACCTGGTAGCCGAGGTCTCCTCAATGACACTCAGCCGAGACTCTGCTTTGACACGTGGTGTCCTGGAGTCAAGCCAGGTGTATCCTTGGAACGAGCTGGTATGTGATTTTGGGTCCAAAAAACTCAACTCTACCAGGACCCTCCTGTCGGGGTGTCCAATGGACTACCCCACACTACCTATAGGCTTCCATTGGGCACCCCGGTCCTGGTATGAAACACATCCTGACCGTTTCCAGCCCGCGACGGGTGCGCCTTGGGCACCCGTCGAGTCTGGCAGAGATGGAGCGCCGCATCCAGGACGATGGTCACCTGCCACTGGGTTCGGAGTGGGTCGGGATGGGTTCGGAGTCTGGTGGTCGATGTGGGGGGAGAGTCCACAGGTGGTGAACACAAATTACACAATTCACATGACCAATTTACACAACCACAGGTATTGGAGGCCATCGCGTTTTTAGGTTGGAGTATGGTTCTTCGGGATTCGAACCATTGAATCATATATTGAATCAATGGACCAGAAAGCCTGGCTGAGGGGTCTGATCAAACCCTCAAGGGGGTGGGGGCAGGTGGGGGACCCCACCTGCCTCTTCATCTCCAGCCCATGTATTCTCGACCTGCCAGGTGCGAAGGGATCTCGCAGTCTCAGGAAAAACGAAAGCCCCGGTCACAAAGGGTCACAAAGGGGTGGGCAAATCACAGGGCGGAGACCGTGGCCCTTCACCAGACTCTCAAGGAACAGCCAAGTTGATGAATATACCAGGAGTCACACTGGGGTGACGGGTGGTTTTGGGCCTCTAAGTGAGTGGATAATGGGCACCCCTATCCTCCAATAGGCAACCCCTTTGGAACTCCTGGTACAGAACAGCTGCTTCCAAGGATTCACCTGGCTGGACAACCCTATATGCAGTGTATCACCACACGCACCAGACTTCACGAGTGAGACGTGACTGGTGTTGTACCAGGCACACAGGCCTAGATACATAAGGATTGGTTCCCAAATGAAAGCAAACTATATAATAAGTATAAGTGGTCTTCATTGGACACGCATGTCTGAAGAAACGCGCTAGGTCCCAAAACCACCCCCCCAACTGGCGCTGAACACCTCCACTGCAGTCCCAGAAGGGGGACACCTCCGGACGCGAAGCGCCGGGTCGCCGCACCGGCTTCGGGCGCTGCCGGGTCGCCGTCGGGCTGCGCGGCCCCACGAACCTGGGTCGGCTCGTCGGCTCGTCGTTCGGGACAGGTGGACAGGTCTTTTCGATCGGTTGGCTCTTCGGACTGACGGCTTTTTCATCGAATTGATTGCTGGTTGGGTGGCTGAATTCCCCAAGGTTCATGACGCTGGTTGGCTTTCCCTCCACTCCGTGTTCGACGCACTGGTCGCACTCTCTCCGTCCTCGTTCGCCTCTTTGGTCCCAAAAAGCACCCGGACGCAAAGTGGAGTCGTTCGTTCTCCTGCGGTTCATGTGACGAACCTGTCTGACGCGCTTTCCGTTTGATCGAAAGTGGTGCGCGATTCCGTTTGGAGCTGGGGAAGACTTGACCTGGTTTTGTAGCCCCTCCATCCAAGCCAAATGGCGCTTGGACTTTTTCGCCAGCTCTTCTGCAGTGACTCACCCAGGCTGAGAAGCAGACTCACCCAGACCGCTGTGAAAAAAGGGCGCGGTCAAGTGTTTAGATGTCGATTTCGTGTGTGGAGCGAAGTCAGAAATGGGGTCTTGCCATCCCTCCCGGCCACGGTACTGGGGGCCATCGAAAAGAACATGTCTGGTGGCGATTCAGCTTGACCCGCACGGTGCTTCGACCTGTTCGGCCCGTTCGGCCAGCCGTTCCACATGTGCTGGCCGTGGAACGGCACATGGAACCGAACACTTCGACCTGAACTTGGACCCCGCGGTGCACTGGACGGTGAACCCGTCCTTCAGAAGGTCGCCATCCGCCAGTGGCCGACCAAACCTGAGGTCTACTGAGTGGAGGTGAAGGCAAGAAAACATATGGATCTTTGCCTTCAGAAAGGAAAGATTCAAGCAAAGATCATGGGCTCTGTGGAACAAAAAACATGGAACCATTCAATCAGGGTCTCCGAGTGCTCATTGAACCGGAATCCAAGATCTCAACATGATCGTGAGGGATGGCTTCACCATTCAAACAGGGTTTTCGTCTCATCTTCTCCATCTACGAGCCGCTGCCAGTCTTCGACATGGCTCCTTGTTTCACCAGCCGAGTCAGCTTTAAATTGTTTCTCCATGTTGGACCTCGAGGCTTTCTGAACACAAAGGATCTTATTACCAGCAGTTCAGAGCTTGGAGAAGTCGGGGTGCCGAAGCTCTTCACATTCCTTCACCCATTCCTGTTTGTTGTTCGCTTCTACTTGTGCTTTCTGTGTCTCGGTCACGAAGATGGCTGTCCACCTCGGACCTCCGAAGCGCGCCACGGCGCACGGGGTCGCTTCCCGCCGGGGCGGCCGGGCCGACACAACTGAATGGATTTCACCTGCCGCCGCGCACGAAGGCGAACGCTCCGTTCGCTCCGCCCCGTACGGTGAGTCTGTAGCACGATTCAAAACACGAAAAAATCACAAACGAAAGACTCTGTTCAACTCTGATCGTTTCTGCCTCGTCCCCGATCTGTTTCTTCAAGTCCAAGACCGTCGATGCAGAAGCAACCTCGATTGGTATCTCAGGAAGCGACGGCAGATCTGTTCCGAACGAACGAACGAACGAACGAACTTGCCGGGGTTTGAGAGATGAACAAGCAGGAAGCGCTTTTCGTCGTTGGAGGATCTAGGTATGCAAACAATTATGATGCACTTTATCTTACTACATATGTCTCATCTTATGACAGGGCTTCCTCGGCCACGATTGATTCAGGTTCGAAGCCCGAACAAACCGTTTTACGAAAGATTTGTCCACTACAACACCAGGTCTTTCCCATGATCTATCATCACCCCTTTTCATATGTATTGTTCCCTTCAATCACCCCCCGAAAATGCAGGGTATACGGTCTACATGACATGAGGGTGTGTGTGTGTCTACACCTGTACCAAAGGACACCGGCCAGTGCAAGATAATTCGTTTTACCTCACTCAGATTTTCAATTTCCATTTAACAAACAGGGGATTCGTAGTCGTAGTGGTAGCCAGGACTGCCTGGCGCGCGTCCTGGCCAACGAAGACCGCGCGCCAGGGAGGTGAAAACGTACCTGCACTAACCTTTAATATCTCGTAAAGGGCTATGTTCCAACCTTTCTTTTCTCCGACCCAGCATTTCTTGCCGTTCCCTCAAGTCAAGGGCTAGGTATTCAGTAACTAGAGTGCTAGGTAGTCGTAACTAATTTCCGGAACTTCGAAACTGATTCAGCTCTTGCGAGCGTCAATCCAAGTGTGTTTCGCCACAGAGTCCCACTGTGGGCTGTGGTGTGATCCCCAGCGAGGGGCGCAGCATGTGCATATACCCTTCCACAGGGGGAACCCTCCAGACTCCTCAGCTTTCGTGTCAACTTCATTGTGGACTTCACTGGATTCTCATATGCCGCAGGGCTTACTGAGATCCAATTCCAGAACGGATTCTCCCATGCTGCTAAGTAGTCACACGCACATGTCCTGCTGCTAAGTAGTCATAGACCAGAATTTTAACTGCGAGCAGGAGTGCTCATCAGAGCTACATCGACGACATCTCCGACTACAAGTTCGCCTATGTCCGTCTATGCCCGTGCTCCGCTACATCGTCGACGCCTTCGAGTACAAGTTCAACTATGCCCGTGATCCTGACTATGTCAGATACACCTTCCGGTACAAGTCCAACTATGCCCTTGATTCAGGTCGCTCCCGGCTCCCACTGTTCCTTCGAGGTCGACGCCATGAACTACCCGTGGCCTTTTCCTCTCAAACCTGCAGCGCCGACTTTCCAGCCACACAACGCAAACAGATCTCCCTCCTCTCCCCTCGCCTCTCCGCTCTCCTTTCTCCCCCTGGACGATCCCACCTCCACCTTTGTCAACACCATCGCCACCACAGTCCATGACCCACACAACATGCAGGACAGTCCCAATTTTCTCCCAATCCTTCTCCTGATTGTGTGTGTCTACACCTGTACCAAAGGACACCGGCCAGTGCAAGATAAGTTACCTCACTCAGATTTTCAATGTCCATTTCACGGGCAGGGGATTCGTAGTCGTAGTGGTAGCCAGGACTCCCTGGCGCGCGTCCTGGCCAACGAAGACCGCGCGCCAGGGAGGTGAAAACGTACCTGCACTAACTTTCAATATCTCGCAACAAGTTGGTAGGGAGGCTCCCACAAACCAACTCCAGCAGAACGCACCGCTCTCAAGGCACGCTACGCCCTTTTCTCCATGGCGTGCCGCGAAGGCTCAAGTAAAGCCCGCCCACTTTGGGCCACAACACAACAGGATTCGACCAACATCCGCTCATGAAGTTTGCTGAGCGAACTTGACACAGGGGAAAAAGTGTTTTGGTTGAAATCCTTTCTCGTCGTACAGATTAGCATTCATGGCGACCGGTTGCTCGCTGCAGCCTCTCAGCACAAATCTGACAAAGGCTGTTGCGGCTCTCAAATGACTCTGCGCGCTTCAGGGCTGTACAATCACCGTTTGAGCGCCGGCGATCACCTGTTCTGGTGAACTTGCATGTTGCCAGCATCAAATGATTTGCCCTCATCTGGTAGTCGATCTGCTTCTTGCGAGCTCTTTCCAGCTCGTCTTGCAGCGCTTCAATCTTCTTTTCAAGTTCCATCTTTTCTTCTTCATACACGTTCGCGTTGTTCAGGAACATGTCTTCAAAGTTCTGGGTCATGGTGACCTCTCTTCTCAGGCGAAGTTCGATCCCTTGGCGTCTTTGTAGATGATCTCCTGCATAGTACCGCCCTCGTCTTGGGGCGTGGGGCGCTGCTTGCTTGCCTCCATGATCGACTCATGATGAGATGAGTCGGCTGGACTAACCATTCCAGCACAGAGATCACCGGCTTCATCTTGATGTGTTCATTGGCATCTTCAGGCATCAGCACGACGTCGGAGTCGCGTCCGAGGCAATGACTGATGTCCTTTCCAAGGTGCAACAGGTACTCGCCACGATCACCCATGGCGATGGGCTCCCATTCCTGGTTGGGCCACATCATCCTCTTGTTGAGGTAGTCAACAGTCAGTCCAAACTTTTCAGAAGTGGCCTTCCAATAAGAATGGGTGCGTTGCCCTGATGACGTAGGTGAGCACATCAATGCGTCTTTTGCCCAGGAAGAATGGCAAAAGGATGCACCGGCTTGTGGTTTCCCTCACGCTGTTGCCGTACTTGAACTGTTTCTCACAGGCAAACAGTGGGATGGTGTAAATGTCCATGCCCCGCTCAAGCAGAAACAAAAGGTACTTGCGAATCTGTCGAGCACTTCCAAGCACAGATGCTGCTCCACCATCCTGCACGGCAGCGTCATCAGCACTTTCGTCATCATCATCCGCCAGGTTGAAGACGGTGTCACCAGTGCAGTCAGCGACCATGTCGACGCCAGCTTCCTCGCTCCATGTCGCTCTGCGACGGGCAGTTTCGAGCGAGATGACCGGAGGCACCACATCGAAGGCATAGTCTCTTGCCGGTGCCCATAGCAGCAGCAGCACCATGTTCACGAGGGTCTGGACGTTTTCCCTTTGGCGGAGACTTGCCCTTTGCCTTCCCTTTGGAGGATTTCCCCTTTGGCTTACCACCCGTGGGGCTTTCATGAAAATGCTGTTTATCTATCATGGCAACAACCGGATAAAATCCCCTTGAGGTTCTCATGGCATTCAACTTGCCTTTAGCTTCAGTGTAGCTCGCATACACGTCATCACATTCCTCAACATCAAAAACTTGTGACTCAGGGCTGCGAGGGGCAATCGGCATAGTAATCCTGGTTCTCATCAGGCCAGGGACTGTCGTCTAAATCTTCATCACCACCAGAAGATCGGTGAAGCGTCATCCCAGTCCTCATCGGCCCAGTCGATCTCTTCGTCGAGAAAGAAAGCATCTGACTTCTTCCAGCGGCTCGCACCTTCAGGGCGTGAGTCTTGGCCGCGGATGAAGGTCATGGCCTTCTGAATCTTCTCGACAGTGAGTCCGTCGGTGCCAACATTAGTGAGGACGAGTTAACGTTGTTCCTTCGTGACTCCACTTTTCCGGAGGAACCACCATGCCTTGATCTTCTCTGGCAGCTGGGTGATCTCAAGGCGACGTTCAGTCCTGGTGTATTCATTGACATAGTCCTGCAGTGTCTGACCAGTTTTCCTCTGGAGGCGATTGAAATACTGCTCAAAATCATCTGGAAGCTCTGTGAGTGGGTCGTACTTGAATCCCCGATCCAAGCGGGCCAGTACTTCATCCATTGCTCCTTCTGAGGACAATTGGTCAAGCGACAGGTCTTCGACCAAATCCCAGGCTTTTCCGGTGAGGACCGTGACGATGTTGAAAACAACTTCAGAACCTCTGCTGCCAAGCTCCATCTTCTCCTGTAGATTTCTACTCTCTTGCGAAACTCTCTGTAGTCCTTCTGCTGGCGCTCCGCTACCAACAACAAGTTGGTAGGGAGGCTCTCACAAAACCAACTCCAGCAGAACGCACGGGAAGTCGTTCCGCTTCCACTCTCAAGGCGTGCTACGCCCTTTTCTCCATGGCGTGCCGCGAAGGCTCAAGTAAAGCCCGCCCACTTTGGGCCACAACACAACAGGATTCGACCAACATCCGCTCATGAAGTTTGCTGAGCGAACTTGACATCTCGTAAAGGGCTAATGCGTATGTTCCAACATGTCTTTTCTCGGACCCAGCATTTCTTGCCGTTCCCTCAAGTCAAGGGCTAGGTATTCAGTAACTAGAGTGCTAGGTAGTCGTAACTAATTTCTGGAACTTCGAAACTGATTCAGCTCTTGCGAGCATCAATCCAAGTGTGTGTGTGTGTGTGTGTTGCTGTCTTTCAGCAACCCCCTGGTTCAGGGTCCACCCGCTTGGTAGCTGCGCGTCCAGGCTTCGCCTCCGGAACGGAACGATCTGAAGCGGAACGACCTCTGAAGCGGAATCTTGTGATCTGAAGAAGGACCATCCCAGCAGTTCCAAAAAGGTGCGATCCATGGAGGTAGTCAGGGCTGACTAGGGGTGCCCCTGTCACATCCACGAGCCCTGGATGGGACAAGCCACACCACCCTGGCCTCCATGTGACTCATTGGACAAAAAAGAAGTGTTTTGATGCTTGTGACTCTTGTTCATGATGCTTCAACGCCTGGATCTGGAAGGTGGAGGGTGGAATCAACACCCACGCGCTTCGCGCCTTGGTGCTGGAAAAGCACTTCAACTTGCATGTCCTTAGCTAGACAAATTATGGAAAAGTCGTGGGCAGCTCTTGACCTGGGCGCTGGGAAGATCTGTACAACCAAAAACACTCCCCATGAAAAAGGAAGAACGAGACCACCTCGAGAACGAGACCGTCTTTTTTTCCAAAGAAACATGTCATCTTCCTCGACACGTGATTTCTCTTGGACGGTTCTTTGTCCGATGCGAAGGGTAGCTCCGGCCGAGTCGATCCAGTTCGATCCAGTTCCATGTCGGAATGGCTGAACATCTCATCTTCAGTGGCCGTGGATGGTGATGTGACAGGGGCACCGACTAGCTCCTTCCTCCTCCATGGAACTGCTGGAAGTTGGATATGCGTAGCTTCAATGAGTGCGGATTTCTCTGATTACTACTGCATCCAGATGTGGGCAACATCGGTTCCAGATGATAGGAGCACTGAGGTAGGAGCAACATCGGTTCCCTTCGATTCTTGACCTGGTCTTCTCAGTGATGGTAATCAGTAGTAAAGTTTGTCTGGTGCTTCGCCCAAGAATGGTACAAAAAGAAAAGCATTACAGGATGGAAGCCCAGGACCATCCCTTCAAAATTGTTTGCTGGAAGCCTTTTCCAAACTGTTGGGTAGTCCAAACAGGACGTCCTGGTGTTACTCAAACACCCAAGCCACACCGCTCAGCTGTGTCGAACACTGGTTCCGGTGGGTGTCCAATCAGCTAGGCCACTACCCACATGAACCTCATCCAAATATTGATGCCTTTCTTTCAGCTTTAATGTGCCTGATCTCCCCAGTTTGTCACACAAAGGTGGCCTCCAAAAGGTCACGTTTGGACCTTCTAGTAGCTTCTAGCTATTCCCTACTAACGATGGCCTCCAAGCCACTTGCGATGGCCTCCACACTAGCGGCAATGGCCTCCAACCTAAGAGCGATGGCCTCCAACCTACTTGCGATGGCCTCCACCGAGCATAGTGTCCGAACGCTGCTGTCCTGGAAAAAAAGCCGCTGAACGCGGCCACGCAACGGCTGAACTCGGCACCACCTTGGAAGACATGGCCGGGAGCGTGTCCTGAGTGACGGGCCCAGTGTGGGCGGCGCCCTTCGCAAAGGGCCAAAACGGTGCGACACGGGGACTGACATGTGATGAAATGAAGTATATTGGCCTGGAAAAAAGGAGGAACAAATCGCTGAAATGCATAGGCAAATAAGTGAAGATACGGAAGTTCTGGGTTAGACATGCATAGGACTGGAAAATGTTCCACCAACATTGACCTCACAAACCACTCAAGCGGGAAAATGGAAGACATACCTCATGCGCCTCATGACTCGTCTGGCAATTTGCTTGTGCGAACGCCCTATCGCTTGTCTTCGGGCGTTCGCTGCCTTTGTGCTTCCCTGACCTCCAAGTCATCGAAGTCGAACATGCCCTTCTCGTCCTCGCAGGTCTACGTCGGTCGGTGTCACAAAGCCGTTCGGGACATCGGGGGACCGAACTGCACGGAGCATGCCAGCCGAACGTCACGGAGCAACAGAAGAAGTTGGAGCAACGTCGAAGAAGGGTGGGCTCTTGATGATTCACCCATGTAAAGAGGTGTTTCAAATTGTTTCAATTCCAAATGCGTGCTTGTTTGGTTCATCTAAGAATCTACATTGACTTGCACATGGTCGGACCCAAGTAGCATCAAGCTCGGCAACTCCATTGGCGCTGGTCATCAGGGTACCGGGTAGGGTGTACCGGGTGGGTCAATTTCTTGGATGGGCTCCTCCGATTCCAACCCTCATTTGGGGAGCGATTGGGGGGCAAAGGATGGCTGCGAGTCATTGGGCTTCTCCAAAAGAAGGGTCTGATGTTTGATTTGCTTACTAGCCTCCAAACATGACAAAAAAGGATGAACACACATTCTTAGCTGTCATCTCACTAGCGCGGATTGCAAGTGTGTTCCAAACAACTTGTACCAGGACCCTCCATCGGGGCTGGACTACCCCACACTACCTCCCCAGGGCCCCAAATGGATGGTCCACCCAGTGCATCCCAGTTACCACTATATGAGGAACCAGGGATTCTAGGTCTATGGTGTTAGTCTTTGGAACCACTGGTTACCAGCGACATCGTGGTTTGCCTGGAAGCCCTGGGCCAGGTAGACTCGTGTCACCTCGTTCAGCCACTCCGCACCTGTGCCGCCGCACCGCCGCTCGCACCTGGCGGCTCCGACACACCGCACGGTTTCCGGTTGACGTGGCACGTGGCAACGCAGACCTCAAAAGGACGAGGTCAAACTGGGGTACCCAACTGGGATAGTTCGAACTATACCATCCGACTCTGATGGCTGGAGGCTTTGGCAGGCTAAAAAAAAACCAGTCGCAGGTGCTGACCGGTTCGCTAGTGAGGGTGCTGGTAGATGTCTTTTTTGGGGGGTTCTTGAGCCTCCGGATCGGACTTCAGCGGCCCGCTGTCACCTCGCCGACCGTCCGAGGTCGGGTTGGGAGTGAAACCACTCACCGGTACCAGGGACTTACTTGTAGACTTGGGGATCTCTTCTTCCAATTTATCCACCAAGTAGCCTTTGGGAAAAGGCCATCTATGCAACTCACCCTTCCTCACTCTTCCGCTCTGCCCTTCCATTCCGTCTTTTTTTCTTCCCGATGGGGACCACCGTCACCGTCCGCTGCCCGAAGAGGGTGGTGAAACGCGCCCAGCATTGCGGAGCTGAAAGAGCTGGTCCATCCTGTGGCGTGGGCGGGGGGGTCGGCAGCCACGCGAGGCGCGGTTGGGTCGGGCATCGGCCCAGCGGGTTGGGAGATTTGGCGCCGGAAAAAAACGAGTGTGGGTGTCAGGGTTTCAGTCTGCAACCGGTCTGGGTCATTGAGAATTCCTGAGATGTGTGTTCGCGCAGGCCGGCCGGCATCCAAGAAGTACAAGGAAAGCGTAAGGAACAAAACAACGAACACGGCAAAAACCGAGCTAGGAAATTGCCCGAGTGGTCCTTGGGGAAACACTTTTGAATCCGAGTACTTTCAGCACTTTTCAGATGGTCCCGATACCCCTAGGCGTCCTGGCCCACCATTGGTTCAAAGGGTCGATGATGTTCGAATCCCGAAGAACAACTTTAACATCCTCGTTCCCACCGAGAATAGAGGTCGGCACACCCCGTTTTATATCAACATAGGTGATCTAAAATGATTTTCACACACCAAAGGTCTTTCAAAATGAAATGCAAAAAAAAACTAAATCTCGTCAAAGTAATCTAAAACGGGTCGGGAAATCATGGTTTCAAGAAAATGACCGTGACGGAAATATATAGTCATGAAACAGTCATGAAACAAGGGTGTGGGGAAGTTCGGTGCCATGATGTGCCATGAGCAATGCAAAAAATACAACTTATATCAAGACTTCTTGACGGGTTTGGCATTACAAGTAGTGGGCGGTGGGTGGGTTTCGTTTTGAGGGGCTCTTTACGATACACTTCTTAAGTTTTGAAAGGTCTGCGCATAAATGCTTTTGATGATATGACACTGGGTTGCTCTCAGAATGATCTGTGTTTGTCTAATATATGTTCTTGGATCAGGAGCCCTGCGTACAGGGTCAGGAACAAAAATCCATCGTGTGCCAGACTGGCATCGACAATTTTCTGAACAAAAACAAAGCGGAACTCAACATGACCGCAACTTTTGAACTCAATGTACCTTGGGTTTTTCACAGGTTTTTGGGACATGTTCCAGAAACATCTATTTTGCGCCCGTTTTTGGCTGCAGGACCCCCAAAGAACAATCAAAGAGGGCACTAGATAAACAGCACATCCAAGATTCAAGACAAACGTTTGCTTAAAAAGTATCCTGCCTTGAAATGTCCTCGATATCTCTGTTACGCTGCTTCATGACGTCTGATAGTTTGTTGATTTAACTCCTGATGTTATGTCATGAAGTGTTATTACTTGGACAAAAGATCGTAGACAAAATACCGAATATGGTTGAATGTGTTCTAGAAATCACAGAACCTGACATGTGCGCCACGTCTGGAATGTGTTCTGACACATCATCCAGCAAAGGCTGGAATGCGTTCTGTTCTTGCATGTGTGGTGACATATGGTCCGGCTTCTGCTCTAATGTGTTGTGACATTTGTCTTTGGCAACCTGCGGTAGAGTGGGCAATCTTGCGCTGCGGCATTGGCTTTACACATGCAACAGAACATCCCAAGCCAAAACATGTCCTGCGCGCGGCTGAAAATCTGGCAGCTATTGGGTTCACCGTCGTGTTCATGCTGTCGGAGTAAAGAAAACAGTAAAAAGCCTGCCGCGTGCCCTCGCCTAATAAGTCGCCAAGACTACGTAAGGACAGGCAAGAGCTTCTGCACAGACCACTCGACTACCACCTGCCCGGTCAATTGTCCATGATCTGATCTCTTCCCTGTAGCTGTGTGTGTGCGCCAACTCTTGTATACTCTTGTAGGGTGTCGGTCAGCTTGTCAACAAATGCCATGGGTGGGAACCTTAGGAAAATATTGAAGTGCTGTGAACGTCTCATGCTCATGTTGTCCTAGGTTGCTGGAATCCTGATAACCGCGATGTCCATTGCATTACGTCGTGTTTCTGTAGTGTTTTTGATGGCAAAAGGTTCGTGCAAAAATTGGGAGGTTCCAAGGACCTTTCTTAGAAGATGGTGCCTTTTTACATGTGTTGAGTGCTGGGTCCAGATTGAGTTGGAGACCAGTCCATCTCGGCGGTGGGGCGCGTATTACGCGCGCCGTGGGGCGCACCAGAGTGGTCGTGTCTTATCCAAAGCTAGCCAAGGTTTTGTCAGTGACATCCATTTTATGTAAGACTCAAGTGTCCTTTATACTAAATGAGTAATACAATTCTGGTCAAAAAACGTGGTCGACCACACCCATTTTAGATTGTCGGTCGCTAGCAGGGGGATATTTTAACTAAGGACTTTGCTCTACAACACCAGGTCAACTGTTCTCTTATAATGGTCTTTGAAGGCTAGGGTGCACCTTTCCTTTAAAGTAGAGGCGTGAATACAACGAACGAAAGGACGCGGCAAAGAAAACCTAAGGAAAATGAATGGCCAAAGGTTTGAATTAGGCCACAAAGCACTTTTCCTTCATCACAGTGCCGTTCAGACAGATCACGATCCATCATTCTCCAAACCAGGACCTCGAGAATTCATTCCCAAAAAGTGCCCAAACAACATCTTGGCTGCACCGGCCACCTCCCCAAACCTCAAACTCCCGCAAGCTCCTCCATATGCATGTTCAACCTCACCCACCGATGCGCCGAGCATCTTCTGCTGTAGCCCTTCGATCCGCTGGTCGATGGTCTCCGATCGACACTCCGTCCGCTCAGGCGCCGCCGGAGCGGCGACCGGCGCCGGCGGAGCGGCGCGGCCGGCGCCCAAGGCAGAGAGTAGGGAGTCGATCTTCCTGAGAATTGACACGGAAATCGGAACGACGTTCTTCCTGGAGTTTGTGTCTTGTTTTTTGTTTTGTTTGTGGGTCCTCCATGGCAGCGAGAGGCTTTTGGAGTTCTTACTTCAGTTTTTTTAATGGAGCCGGGGTGGTGGTGCCGCTGCAGAGTGCCGCTGGCAAGTGCATGTGGCCGCATGCGCCACTGCAGGGTGCCCGCTGCTAGATTGATGTCTATGGCAGTGTGCGGTTGATGTCGCTTGGGCGCCGCCCAGGCAGCTCAACCAAATATATCTTTGCTGTCTGAGGTCTATGCTTTCGCGTGACTGTTTGTTTGTTTTTGTTCGGGGCAAGCTGTTCTTTCGTTGGCGCTCGTTTTTTCAAACTATATAAATTCATATATATTCAGGTGCTCTGCGTTGCCAAAGTGGACTTAAAGCCGGCGATGGCTTGACTCCTCAGCAAACTGAAGACTATGAGACGGCAAACCGATTTGGGGGACATCACGAGGATCCACATCACTCACCGTTGCTTCCAAATTGGAAGAAGGTCACAATAATATCCCCTCTATCCGCACAATGTCCATAAGCCAGCCTGCAGCCGAGCCGTGGCCTTTCCCTCATTGTTCCTCCCCCCCAACCCCCCTCCACACCGAGCGTCTTGTCGAGGACCTCGTACCGCCGCGCGCGGCGCTCGCCCTGAACCGGCTCGATCTCGGTGCCGGGCATCACCTGGGACGGTGGGCGGGACCGGCCTTGGAGCTCGGAGGTTCTGGAGGCGAAGCCAAAAAGAGTTACCAAGAATTGGAAGAACTTGGCAAGGAAGAGGCCAAAGAAGAGAGACCATACTCAGTGTTCGCAAGGAAGGACCTGGTAAGTAGAATTTGAGCTGGCAGGATGAAACAAACAGAGTGGAATGTGGGAGTTGCGATGTGTCCAGTTGGTATATCCCCACTCCAACTTCTTGCTGGAAAACTTCATCCCATCAACATCATCAACAGAATCTCATCTTGATGTTCATCGAACAACTCCTGTGACAAATTCGTGGCGCAGTACTACAACCAGTTGCCCCAGTTCCAACAAGTCCCACCACCCAAAGACTCATTCGACCCTCATAGCTGCTTTGACCCTCACAACTAGGGGTTTGGACCTCAAACCTTGTCTTACATGTAGCAGCTTGAGGGTCCATGAACCTCCGGGCAACTTGAACAAGCAGTCCCAATCATGTTCCAGCCCTTCAAGATCCAAGCAACTTCATGAAAGTTCCGCCTGTGAGTGGCCAACAGGGACTGACTGGCACACGAAAAAAACACCTCACCATCCTCGAGTTCTCATTTGGACGAGGCTCGGTTTGGCTGGGTTGTTCTTTCGTCCGGCGCCCCTGACTTGCGCCAGGTCCAGGGCTTCCGGGTGCGGTCGCGGAGGACGTGGCGTAGGCCCAGGAGGGGTCCACACACATGAAGCCATGCTCACCTTCGGTGGACAGGTCACCATAAGGATTCACTGGTCATCCCGGGCAAGAGGCCCATAAGGATTCAGGGGGGATAAGCGAATGTTTGCACTCCAAAGCACATACATGAGAGCACACACAGAGCAGGGCAAACAGGCGAGACCACACATACTGATGGACGAAATTCTGCATCAAAGCAGCACATATGTGGTCCTCCAGGTTCGTGCAGACCCCCGTGCCCCCCAACTCAATGTTGTCTCAGGTTCGTTATGCGTGATGCAGGATTTTGGTAATTCTTTCTGTTCTGACGCATTTCCTCAACTCAATGTTAAAGAGGGAGCGCGGGGG